TAGCACTGAGAAGAGTTTCAGTATATGGACATAACATTAATAAAAAATAGTAAATTTATTGACTATGTAAACTAAAAATGTCCTCCTAACTCAAAAGATCCTGACAAATATGTATACATTCCTTTCTTATTTTCTTAAGAAACTGTCTGTGCAGGTGTTACTAATCTGTGGCTATAAACATTCGTTTTAGGTAACATTGATCAAAATGTACTCAGCGGTCACTTCTAATATATTTACTTTTTATAACGAGTTTTGTATTAACTATAGTTTTTGCTGATTTTAATGACGCCAATATATAAAAAAAAGTTTTAAATATTGGCGTCATCAAAATTTTTGTTATTTTCTATCATGGTGGTTTCCCGCAAGGCACACGTCTTTTTATATTTCCATTGTAATTTCAACATACAGTTTTAAAATGATATGTTATTTATGAATGTAGAATACTTTATTTTAATTATTATTCGGTCGTTGAGTTGGTCTGCCGTCTGGATTGGTATTCGGTGCACCCTCACTTCTATATCACCTTCAAATGAAGATAAGGCTGTAATTCTTAAATCGGGCGAAATTAAAAGCTGCTAATGGTATATCGGGCTGGACCTATGCACGACGCCCTTTTTGTTTTATTATTAAATAGTTTCCAAGAAATATTTTTAATATTAATTGAAATAAATTTTTATTTTTTATCTACACAGAAATCTATGTCGGCTTTTGGAATATTTCATTTTGACAATTAACATTTTGCTGTCTCTTAAATTCTGTCACTATAAATTTGCAGCTGGATGTTTTATTTCTTTTCGATGTTAAGTGACTACCGCCGCCCATAATTTTTTGTAAAGGTCTATGTGATCATAGAATTTTGGTCGTATTCAAAGGCAATGACAAGTTTCAACTAAAATTACCAAAATTTTTGTACAGAACTTTGACTGTACTTAAATTTTGACATTGTGAAGTTCGTGATTAAACTCAGGCATTGACTTATATATTACTAGCGTAAGGACCGGGCCGACCGAACAACTAAAACGGACTAGTGCGTTGGCCCTAAAATTATAGTTTAGGGCCAACGCGAATCGGTCAACAGTGGTGCGCGCGCAGGACAGATTTGCCTGTCACAAATATGTCTAGTTGTGTGGTAAAAGAATGCAAAAATTACGATACAAAGATTAAAAAAAACATGGGATATCGTATCATTGGTAAATAACCTTTTATTAATTTTGTTACAATTAAATTATTATTTAATTTAGTTTTATTTTACTGATAGTTTAGTTACGTTACCAAGATTAGGCCAGGGTCGGATTCAGACTCTCAAAAATATTGTACATGGAAAATAAAAATATACCATTTAAAAAAAATTATATCACAACAATTAAATAAGGTTTCATGTTGTTTTTTCCCATGTGCCGGAATTTTGGCGTCACGCGTCTAATTTATCTATACGTTTCGGTTTTTGACGGTTTTATTTTTATTTCTGTTTAATTTTTGTCTAATGAACTTAGTGTAAATTAAATTTTGAATATTGGTACCTAATATATTTTATATTCAGTAAGGGTAAAACGAAAAGAGTACAAAAGAAAATATATCTGCTTAATTGAATCTGAAATCTGATTCATAAAATATTTTGAAATTCTGTTTTCAATCCGATTGCTTCTGGAGCTTAGAGTTTTTATCGTGGTAGCCTCTCATTATAGTTGTATCAAGGATGCAACATAAATGCAAAAGATCGAGCATCGTTTGACCAGAAAGGGAGCTAATTCTAATTTTATTAAAAAAACGCCGTACTCATGTACAATACAGAAATTCTTGAAATCGTAGGGTTAGTATTAAAATGTTAAAGGACCCAATAATAATACAAGTCGACCTTTAGGCAAAATTATGGTATTTTCGCTTAGTATTATTACGATACTACGTACTACAAACTATGAAATAATGGTACAATTAGGGTAATTATACTATGAAATCCGACCCTGGTTACGTCGTGTTTTGATATGACGTTTGTATTATGGCAGACGCGCTACTTTTTCTTGTATGAAACAGTTATGAGTAAAATATTGAAATGGGCCTATCCTTCCTTTTGAAATCATCGAACTCAGGATTGTCTCTGTTTACCGGCCTCAGAGACTGACGACATGATTGTGTAAGGTCAATGGAGCTCAACTATGGGGTTGAAGCAACCAACAGCGATATCTTCTATTCTATGTTTTTTTTAAATACATTGCCATCTATTGGCATGGAGAAAAATCATAGTTTAACCTATCATAAACAGATGGCATCACTTGGATCGAAACTGTTTGACTTACCAGAGTTTTTTTGTTAGTAGCCATTTTGATCTCGTGTTTGTTGGAGAGCGTCTCATCAACTTTCAACAAAAAATACTTATCGTACATTTTAAGCAAGGGTTTATGCAACAACTTAGAAAAACTAACTGTAAGTACTCTATAAACTTATTTTTATAACGTTAGATCCTTCAAATCGTAAGATAATGTAATAGTTACATTAGCCTCAATTTACCGCGTTGTGGAGCTATTGTGTCTAGTTTTTTTAGTTACAATAGCCCCTTTGTGTTTGTATAAAAATAAATATGCTAGTGATTCTTAATAAATCAATACAGTTACAGCACGATCAGCATTCGGGACCTAAGTAAATTGCTTAAATAAAGGGTAATGCACTGCACTGCCCCCACCGTAATATACTCTATCGTTTTGTTTATTTTAAGTATGTTTACAGTAAGAACATTGTGTTCTCTTTTATTTTTATGCTTTTTTTTCGAGATATTTGAATTTAACTATAATTTTTTCCGAAATTATATTAAGAAAAGAGCTATTCAAAAGAAAAGCTTCTCGAGGCACTCGAGTTAGTTAAAAACGAAACGTTAAATAGCTACGAGGCAGTAAAAATTTTTAATATTCCGAGATCTACTATAATTTCGCATTTATATGGCACACGTGGCCAGAAGTAGGTGAATGCTGGAATGAAGACAGTATTTTCAATTGTAAATTAAATTTCAATTCTAAAGTATCTGCATGCTTTAGAAAAGTATGGCTTTCCTCTAACTAAAAAGGAAGTTAAAACGTTGGTTTCGGAATACGTTGTAAGAAATGGATGGATAACTCCATTTAAGGTTAATATTCCTGGAGATGATTGGTTACGGCGCTTTTGCAAAGGAAATAATCTATCATTAAAAAAACCACAATCAGTCGAAATAGCTAGAAGGAAAGCTTGCAACCCGTTCACCGCATATGAATACTTTGTTTTATTGGAAAATGCCATAAATGATTTGGATCTGGCCGAGAATCCTGAGTGCATTTATAATCTAGACGAAACCAGTTTTTGCAACGATCCTTCCAAGAGTAAAGTGCTTGGCCAAAGAGGGTATAGTTCTACTAGGATAACTAGCTCCCCCAGCCGTGATAACACAACTGTCCTATTGGCAACTAATGCACGGGGCGATAAAGTCCCACCACTCATAATTTTTCAAGGAAAATACTTGTGGAATGAGTGGTGTTACAAAAATAATAGTGTGAAAACAGCATACGCTGTAAGCTAAAAGGGCTGGATGGAAACATCAATTTTCGAAAAAAATTTTAAAAATGTATTTTTACCTGCGATCGGAAATGAGCGACCAGTTCTATAATTTATGATGGCCACTCCACACATGCCGATTTAAAAGTAATCGAACTCGCCATTACCAAAAATGTTACCATTTTGAAGTTACCCCCGCATTCTTCACATATCCTTCAACCGCTAGATGTAAGTGGAATGAAGCCCATGAAGGATCGATGGGAAGAAGCCTTGGTTAAATGGCAAAGGCTTCATATCGGAGCAAAGTTACCCAAAAGTGAGTTCGCACGAATTATTACTGAAATATGGAAGTTATGAATCCTGTTATTCTAGCCAATGGATTAAAAAAAAACAGGTATTTATCCCTTAAATCCGCACGTGATCCCAAAAGAAAAGTTTGATCCCTTAACTTGGTCGAGATGGGAGCAGTATGTTCAAAGTTAAACATACGAGCAAGGCAACTACGTCGAAGATGTTAGTGAAACCATTCGAGCACCATTTGAAAAATTGGTCAACAAACCTCTGAAAACGTTCCAACTCTCGTTAGATTGGCACTTAAAACTTTAAACTCTCAACCAGACCATAAAAGCCTTACATATTGTAAAGATTCAAAACGAACGGAAAACAAGATTCAAAGTAAAGAGAACATGATAAGTTACGAAAGACAACAACCGAATAATTCAATATAATAACATGACCAGAATAATAGAACTAAAAAAATGAAATAAATCAAATACTAAGAGTTAAAAAAGAAACAAGTACAGAACAAGTAAGAACCTATGAAAAAAGTAAGAAAATTCAGAATAATACAGCTATAACAGAATTCAGTAACAAAACTGAAATAACTCTGGATAAAGAAAAACAAAAAAGAATCACGTATCCAAAGACCATAGAAGATCCTCGTATATAAACTACCACTTCCAAGTCCAAAAAGAAAAAAAACTTATTCAAATAACATTCAAATTTACGGAAACGAGTTAATTCAGGCAGCAAATACCACTAACCAGATAAATGAAGACAACTTTAACGTACCATTTGAAGAACTTCTGTTAAATTCAATTGTTGGCAATGATCCTCCAAAAATAAAAAAAAACGCGTGTGACAAGGGGGAGCGGAAATACTAACTTATAAGGAAGTTATTGAGAGAATGGAAAAGGAACAAGAAGAAAAAAGAGTAAAGAAAACAATAAAAGAAAATCAACCTAAAATAGATGAAGAAACAAAAATTGAAAAACAAATTAAAAAAGAGAGGCCTAAAAAACAATAAAATAAAAAAGAACCATGAATCTGATAGTAACAGCAGTTGTTCCTATCAATTAGATGATTCATCAGATGAAGACGCTAATACTTTTTGGGAAACCTTACTAACTACAGAACTTTCCGACGATATTGACACTAACGAAACTTGTAAGCAAGTTTCTGAAATTGCATCTACTTCGACGGAAATGGCATCTGCTTCGATAGAATTACCAGCTTCTATAGAAACTTCATCTAATTTAATGGAATTGGCAACTACGTCTAAAGATATGCCATCATTTTCGGAAGAATCTCTAGTCTCAGAAGTCCCAAAAGAAGGCACTTTTGTTTTAGCGAAATTTAGTTCCACGCGGGGCAAAAAGACTTACAAATACGTATGTCGTGTACAAGAAGTCTCAGATACCAAAATTGTAGTTACAGGGCTCAAGTCATACAAACGAAAGAACACGTTTCGAATAATCGAAGATGATATCTCAATTATTGATTTCGAAGACATAGTTACTTATCTTCCACAACCAGAGAACTTAGATGCAGAATTGTTTAAGTTTCTATACAATATTGATGTGTACGAAGTACAATTTTTGTCTTTTTTGTATAAATAATAATAATTAAGCATAAAGTCTAAATTAAAGTTTTTAGTAAAAATATGCCATTGATTGAAACAGGACGTGATGTTAAGCTAAAGTATGTTGTTTTATATCTTTTTTTATCAATTAAGCGAAATTTCCTCATAGGAAAATTTAATAAATATTTGCCATTGATTTAGTATTTAATTTAATTTTAAGTTTATAGTCCTCATAAATAAATGTGATGAATATGTGCCACTGATTTAATAGTGAAGTGATTCGGTTTGATTAAGTATTATATTAAGTATATTATTCTTGTATTTAAACATTAAAAATGTGATTAATATGTGCCATTGATTGAAACACAGTGATGATTACTAACTGCTAACGTTATTTTTACATCTGTTTTTTTTTTCTTCAAATTATGCATAAAGTCCTCTAAAAATGAGATGAATATTATATTCCATTGATTGAAACACAAAGTGATGTTAAGCTAAAGTAGTTATTTTTATATCTGTTTTTTCAATTAAGCATAAAGTCCTCATAGGAAAATTTGATAAATATTTTCCATTGAAATTTTTTGTCCTCTAATAAAATGTGATTTATATGTGCCGTTGATTTAGTATAAAGTGAAGTCAAATAAATATAAATTAAAAACAATGCATAGTTTTATTTCACTTAGTCATCCATCATATTATCGATTACCTACACTTTTTTACAATTTATCTATATATTTTTACGCCTACACAGCACTAATCCTGTAGAAAATAGTCACATTAGCCCCCAAAAATACAAAACATACTTTTAGTCGTATTAGGACTGGTTCAACTTAGAGATAATTTTTGCGAAAATTTTACGCTGGAGGATCATGCCACTGATTCTGAGCACATACGCTACAAAAACGAATAAGTTATTTTAACAGTTGCATTTGTTTACCCCAACATGGGGCTAATATGACTTTTTCTGTCGGCATGGGTTAATTTTAAGATTTTGGGTAAATCTTACAGCTTTTTGACATTATAATAGTATAAAATTGATTTTGTCGTTTTTGCGATATTTTTTAAGAATCTCCCTTATATGTCTTCTGAATCTTATAGTTTTAATATATTAATCTAATAAAATAAGGTGGACATTTTTAGCAAAGGGTAAAAATTTTATTTTTTTTAGTTCCAATAGCCTCCGTTAACCTTATTAAGTTTTTATTATTAAAAAAAGGCACACACACGCTAGAGTGTAGATGCTGTGGCTCACAGGCATCTACCAATATAATATCTATCCTCGATTAAGAATCAAATTGCAGAATATCTTATCATGTTTCCAGTAAAAAGGGCCCGCTGTTTATAGCGCTAGTATTAAAAGGGGATATCCCTCTACTAATACCTAATTGTTTATCGCTGACGTAATAAAAGACATCTCAATGAGAATTTTATCGTAAGTATGACGTTTTCAATAGCCACTTAATCATAAAATGTGCCTTTTACCCTATTATTATATGCGTAGTCCAGATTTTAGGTGTTATTTAGTAACAGTAAAACACTGATAATGTAAGAAGAAACTATAAGGTAATATTATTACTAGCTTATACTCGCGACTTTATCCGCGTGACCTTCAGGAACTGCAGATTTTTTCGTGATATAATCAGCCTATTCATACTCTCCCTATGAGTTTTCAAAGCGTGCCGCCTCCAATGCGGCCGCAGTGTAGTAAGGTACATGGGCCAGATATAAAGACTTTGAAGAAATTGCTTTAATTCATGTGGTCTAAACGAAGATTAACAATGTACGTAGGTATAAATTATACTTTCCAACCTTTTAATTAATTACTTTAAAGTAAGTAAGTAAAGGATATGATTTTTAATTTGAAATCATATCCTTTCGTCTTTCTACAATAAAATTTATTTATTTATGTGCCTTTTGGCATTCTCTCCCAGTCAACACGATTTACCTACGATAACTTAAGCCGACTGCGTCCGCCAAACAGTAGTGCCCTCGAATAGAAATCATAAATAAAAATGGAAATGTTATCACAAGTATAAGGGATATTCTGTTAAAATCTGATCCTTCTCAATGAAGCTCTGTTAAAATTGTTTTGTAATTAAGAACAGCGTGGCTTTTCTACGAACGTAACTTCACATAATATTCTTCTTCATCATCATTAGTCTATAAAAGTTCAATGTTGGGCATGTATGTATCCCATTGTAGCACAGAATAAATAATAGTACAAGAACAGAGGGATCACTCTGTGATAGCGTACTTGCGAGTTTAAACCTAGTTACAACGTCGCTAATATTCATAATCCTTTGCACGCTTCGGAAGCGACCTTCATGAAATCAGCCTACCGATTAAAGGTTATTAGGTGTTGTGAGAAAACAAATTGAATCCTTTGATATTTAGTTGGTAGTAGAATACACCGAGGTGTTATGCAATGTACTAGTAATTTGCTGATAATAAGAACATTAGTATTCAATGAGAGGAAGGTTAATATGCAACATCGAGAAAAATTAAGATTATGACATCACACACAAGCATTATTACCAATTTGTAATTTGTACTACCTATGTTTCTTAATGTTGTGTGTTGGCCAAATAAATCTTTCTTTCTATCTTTTTTTAACTCTAACTATTTATTTATTTACTTTACTTTACTTTTTTAACTATTTATTTATTTATCCTTAATTATACACTTTAATTAAAAGGATGAAAAAAGGTGGACTTAATATATTCTACAATGCGAAATTAAAATAACCAGTTGAAACTGTTTCATGCGGTACTAAACAAAACTCATAATAATAACATTCATATTTTTTTATTTCATGAATAATTTACAACCGGTTGCTATTTAACATTGGTTATAAGTCATATCGGAACCTGTCCCAGGACGAAATTTCCTGAAACAGTGCTTGTCCGGGACATTCGGTACTGACAACTTGTCGATGTCCGACCAATGAATAGTCTGCGCTAATGTAGCCCAGCTCTACTCCAGTTGCGATTAGCTTCTTAACAGTTTCCAGTTGATGTGAAGGAGGTACTTCAGCTGTAACAATACAAAGGAAAATGTTAATTCATTTTATTTTTTTGAAGTCACTGCCTGCGGCAGCATCGTGTTATGTTGTCGTGGACGATGATGATGATGACATGTGTTAACGTGTGTAACGTGAGCACCGGTCTGCTCACGTTTGCAAATTTGCAATGCACCGATGAATTCCAAAATTTAAGTCAAGTTTTTCATCCTAGAATTGAATTTCGTGGATATTTTTTTTATTAAATTTGTAGGGAGGATTAAAACCATTTTGTACAACCAACTTCAATAGAAATAAAATGAGAACATCATTAATGTAGACGAAGTCTATTAAATATGCATTATTAAGAACAACACTCAGAAACTACTGGTCAGGTGTTGATCAAATTCATATGGTACTACATGAAAAGCACCAGCTTACAAATAAAAAAAATCATCAAAATCAGTTCACCTAGAAACAAGTTCCGATGTAACACACAAAAAAATACAGTCGAATTGAAAACCACCTCCTTTATTGAAGTCGACCAGAAAAGATTATTGTTAAATTTCTTTTGCCGTTTTTGACATTAACATTTGAAATAGACAGTTGACAAATGTAGTTTTAATTTGTTAAATTGAAGAAATAAAGATATTTAATTTCACTTATTATTATGACCATCAAAATATAAAGTTGTACTCTTTACAAGCAAGAACAAACTCCAGGGGTACTTACAAACCCAATCACCGATTAGAACTATCCCAATGCTCATAACGTTGTATCCATAGGCATGCGCTCCAACTGCCTTCCACCCACGACCTTCGTATACAGCCCCATCTCCGCCCACTGCGAAGCTGCATTTAGGGAGTATTGGTCATTTTTTTTTTAAATATTCCATAAGAAATTCGTTATGATACTTTCCTTACTTCAACATAGATCCTTGAATTTAGGCTCATATGAATAGTAGTGAACATTTTCATCCAAATTTACTAAAGAAAGATGCATATTTTTCACCTGACTATATATAGAAATGAAGCAAATCTTAGACCTCAGCTAATTTAATATTAAATTAATTACGCTCATCACAATGTTAAAAGGAACGCAGAAAAAAATATGTTTTAATATTTCTTTAAGATTATTCTACGTCATTAACGGTATTAACATAATATGGTATTAACATCAATGGCGAGTACATCACTCACCTTCGATTTGCCGACGATATAGTCCTTATGGCAGAATCGCTGGAGGACCTTAGCACTATGCTCAATGACCTCAATGGTGTCTCCCAACGGATAGGTCTTAAGATGAACATGGACAAAACAAAGATCATGTTTAATGTCTATGTCACACCTATGCCGGTAGTTGTTGGGAGCACTATGCTCGAAGTTGTTGATGAGTACGTTTACCTGGGACAAATAGTCCGACTAGGTAAGTCTAACTTCGACCGAGAGGTCAATCGACGGATTCAACTCGGCTGGGCAGCGTTCGGGAAATTACGACACATCTTCTCGCCAGGTATACCTCAATCTCTTAAAACTAAAGTGTATAACCAGTGTGTGTTGCCAGTGATGACTTACGGATCTGAGACGTGGTCCTTCACTGCTGGCCGTATGAGGACGCGCAAGGTCGCTCAGCGATCTATGGAGAGGGCTATGCTCGGGGTTTCTCTGTGTGATATACTTAGAAATGAGGATATCCGCAGTAAAACCAGAGTGACCGACATAGACCAACGGATTAGTAAGCTGAAGTGACCCGCCACTCCCTCGCCGCCACGACCCCCCACTAGATGGAGTGACGACCTGGTAAGACATGCAGGAAGTCGATGGGTGCAGGTGGCTCAGGACCGTGCTTTGTGGCATTACTTGGGGGAGGCCTATGTTCAGCAGTGGACTTGTGAAGGGCTGTAAGGATGAATGATGATGATGACGATATTCTACGTCAAGGGTAAACGTGTGGCGACTGACACACTTATTTATTTTATAAATAATTATTTCATATATATATATATATATATATATATATATATATATATATATATATAT